ATAGTGAACTTTTAAAAAGATACAAAATTATATTTGATAGTTAAATTTTATTTATATAACCTCTAGAACATAACTATATAAAGATTATTCTACAAAATATCATTATTTGGAATTTGATAAAAGTATATATTGACATTTAAGTTCAAGAAAAAATACAAGTAAGAAAGATGACAGGATAATTGTGTGGCCCACATGCCAAGAACACTTTGAGAAGGTACATAATTTCGCCATCATGACTGAAGTGTCACATGGCCTATTTTTAAAAAAAAAAGGTCACTCAGGGAGAAAATCAAGGAGTATTTCAGATGGAGCCCCCAATCCTGCAGGTGGGGGTCATAAAACACTGCATTCGAGTTCTTTTGGCATGGTTACTTGACCGGAAGCACCATGAGTCCACTGTTACTTAAGATGAGATGTTTGCTCATTTTATTTGGTGTATTATCAAGCCAAATAATTACATTATCAATTTGTTATATGACGAGGAAATTGGGAGATAAAACCCTACTCCCGATACAATGAAATAAATTGATTTACGGATTCAATTTTCCATAAATCTAAGCTTCTTTGAATGGTAGAAAATATACCCAGAACCACTCAACTATTTCATTCCCTTGGAAGCACCAACAGTTGAATACTAGGCTGCTAACCAAAAGATGGCAGTTTGACCCAAGAGACTCTGTCTACAGGAGACAGAGCTGGCAACCTGCTTCCATGAACATGACAGCCTAGGAGAGCCCTCTGCCGCGTGGGGTCACTATGGCATCTAACACGTGTGTGTCCACAAATACATCCAAGGAACCTCACTTTAAGTTCCTTTAACATGAGATGAGAAAAAAATAGGCCCTTGCTATTGTAAGCAAATGCTTAAGGTAAGGTGACCAGATTTTAACACTGGTAAAGCGGGACAAAAGCGGGACACCATTGATAAAACTCATATCCTGGTGAAACAGCCACATGGCAGCCGAAAACCATATACCCTAGCTTGCCGTGCATTCTTTCCAAAAGTCGAGACTTTTTAAAAACGCCGCAGGACGCGGGGAAAAATTGTTCAAAAGCGGGACATCTGGTCACCTTAACTTAAGGGAAGAAAAATGCAATAATTTATAGTTATAGTCCTACAATCTGTAAACTATGCCTCAGGGGGAAAAAATCTGTCATTCAAAAACCAAATTCCCACATCCTATCTTTCCTCAAGATGTGCTTTGCTACCATTCGTGACTGTCATCCATTAGGCTTGCAGGCTTCACAGGGTTCACACGTCACTTCCTAACACCAACACATTTTCTTCTTTTCTGCTACATTTAATATGCCCTTAATACAAACTGAGCTAAGTTCACAAAGTAATGTGGGGTTGTAAAGTTGAATAATATCTGATTCTAACTTTGGCACATTATTTGCTTTCCCCAAACCTAATTATTCGCAAGCAAAAAGAATCAGAAGTAGAGTTTTAATCAGACCTGAGAGACTGATCCAGCGTCATTCCTGTAAAGTCAAAAAACTTCAGATATTCTTCTGCGACTAGTTTGCTAAATTCATTGCTATAAGAAAACAGAGTATAAGAAAACAGGTTATTATCATGAAATTCACATAACCCACCACCACCCCTACCACCACCCGCCCTACCACCACCACGGGAAACGCAGACACCAGGTTCGGGTCAGCACGTACTTCTTGCCTAGATGCTTGGCGACATCCGACCTTTTGAATCTGTCTAGTTGATAAAGGCGCTTGGCCAATCGTTTGGCTGCTTCCACGTTGCTGCTGGTCCCATTGCCGAGGCTCTCTGCGGTCTCCCTTTCCAGAATCTCAGTGTTCCCCATTTCAGAATGAGCATCTAACAGCGTCTTTTTCGCCCCCGCATTGCTGTTAAAATTCATAGAGGGGAGGGTTATTTTTTTTTTTTACAGGGAACTGACTAGTGATGTCTAATCTGCCCCACGCCCCATCCCCAGGGGGACGAACAACAGTAACGTGGATGTGGATGAAGGTTATGAAAATAATAATAATTTACAATGTATCAGAGGTCCATGGGGGAGGGTCGTTAGGGGATGGAAGGGGGGAAAAGAGGAGCTAATACCAATGCTCAAGCAGAAAGAAAGTGTTTCGAAAATGATGATGGCTACCTATGTACAAATGTGCTTGATACAACTGATGTACGGATTGTTAGAAGAGCTGTAAGAGCCCCCAATAAAGAGCTTCATTTATAATAAAAGTTTCTCTCATGTGGCCAAAAAAAAAGGGCAAGATACTTATTAAATTGTCCAAATATTACAGAATCAACTACATGAAAACTAGTTTAAATGAAATTATGTCCGTTTTTCATTAACATGCATTCTAATACTACCTTTCAGTGCTAAGACTAAAAATAAGTGACCTCAACACCCACTTAAAATTAGGTAAGCCCCCACTGGGTGAACTGGCTCTACCTCAAACTCGCCTGTACCAGATTTCAGGAACTGACCTGCTATATCCTCCTAGGAACCAAAAGAATTACTGTAGCAGTTAGCAAATACATCTTTAAGTAGAACTGCTTAGCCTCTCTCTTGCTACTTGTGCCACATAAGCCAAATTTTCATGTTCCCAGTGACCTGCCAACTTCACAGTGACCCAGAATGTAGGCTGGGCCATTTATTACACCACTGGTGGTACCCCAGGGAGCCCTATGGAGGAGAGGGGAAGACACACTATCATCAACTCTATTTCATCACACTATTTCAACTCATAAAGACCCTAGATGGCAGTGGTTCTCAACCTTCCTGAGGCCGCAACCCTTTAATACAGCTCCTCATTATTGTGGTGGCTGCCCAATCAAAATTATTTTCATTGCTACTTCATCCCTGTCATGTTACTACTGTCATGAATCAGGAGACTCCTGTGACAGGGTCGTTCGGCCCCCGGGTTGAGAACTGCTGCTTGACAGGGTTTCCAAGACAGGGAATCATTTGGGAGGAGCGGACCATCCACTCCAGGAGAAGCTGATGAGTCGGCTCCACTGACCTTCGGGTTAGCAGCCCAATGTCTAATTCACGGGATCACCAGAGGTTGCTAATCTGATTCACTTCTCTAACCAACACTAGACATTGAGTCAGCAGACCCTAACCACACAATCAGCAAGTACACCTCATGTTGTCCTTGAAAGGCAGGCTCTTCCGCTACTTGAAAGGCAGAGAAAGAGACTGGCCACCCCACGCTGCCTGTCCTTTCATATTCAACTCCCTGAGAACTCTGCTTACTGTACAGGTTGGCTCACACATTCCCATATGCTCAGAAGAATCTGGAAGCCAAAGTGGGATCAAATCAATGCTGGCTTATTTTCTTGTAACTATTAAGACTTCAAGAGAAGAAGAAGAAAAAAAGTCTGCATCCAATGCTAAGCCAAGGACAACAGGCGCAAATGGGAATGATCCACACAGAACAGGATGTGAGGTCATTCCAGTTCTACAGCAAAGCAGCCAATTCACTGCCATCAAGTCCTCCCCATATACACACTCGTCACAGGGCGTCCTAGGCTTTGTAAATCTTCCCAGGAACAAGACAGCCTCATCTCGCCTGCAGAGTGACTGGTGGTTTGAGTTGCCAACCATAAGGTTTGCAGTCCAACGCTGACCCCGCAGAACCACCAGGGCTCCTTGAATCCAAATTTTAAACCAACAATAATCTACATCCATTGGAAAAAGGCACTTCATTATGACGAGATCTTCATGCTCCAGCTTACCTTGACATAGCTAAAATCGGTTGTATGAAATACAAGTAAAAATTGAACATTTAACTTCGATGCTGAGCAAATCTAAAAATAAACTCAAGTTCTTCAGCCACTTTGTGTCTTCCCCTAGGTAAGAGGTAGAAATGTAATGTGCTCCAAAGCCATGTCAAAATGAAGTCATTTTGATAATGACAACTACAACAAAAATACCCGTGGTTGTATTCCTATACATCCTCTGCCTCTACATACTATCTATGCTACGCAGCCTGTGGTCTCTGATCCACAAGGTCAGTAGTTCAAAACAGCCCCTGGGAGGGAGAAGGATAGGGCTTTCTATTCCAGGGGAGAGTTGCCGGCTCAGAAACGCACAGCGGCACTTCCACCCTGTCCTATGAGTCTGAGCTAGCAACCACTCGATGGCAGTGAGTTTGATTGAGTTCTATATTCAAATAAAACTCTACCATCTAGCCTCTGGTGATGTGGTGGGTTATACACCGAATTGCTCATTTTGAGGTCAGTGGTTTAAGCCTACCAGCCACTCTCTGGGAGAAAACTAAGGCTTTCAGCTCCAGGAAAGAATGTATAGTGTAAGAAACCCAGAGGCAGTTCTACCCTGTCCTATGGGTTGGCTTTGAGTTGAAATTGACCCGGTGGCGATAAGGTTGATTATTTATAACCTACAAAGGGCTCAGAGCCTCACAGAATAACTATAAAGCAGCCCCGGGGGCACCGGGGTTAAGCACTACGCTGCTTACAGAAGAAGCGGCTGTTCAACGCCAATGACCACTCCGGTGTCAACAGAGGTAGCAGCCTAGGGACTCCCAGGGGCAGTTCTATGGTCCTGCAGGTTTGCTCTGAGTCCTAACAGACTCAGTGGCAGTGGGTGTGATTTGGGTTTTACCATGTAGAAAAACTAAGGCCAGAGGAAACTTCCCTTATCTAAACTGCTACTTCCTGCTAACTACTCTAGGGGTGAATCCGCTGCATGTATTTAATCACACCAAGTAAACAATGCAACCATACAGCATAAGCAATCAAGCGATTATTTTATTCAAAGATAAGAGGTTTAGCTTAATAAACATGTTTTACTTTAAATCTGTGGTTAGAAACATTCCTGTTTGTGTTTTGAATGTTTCTTCTTTCTGCCCTCTTACCACGTACTGCCTATTCTCCTAAGTGCCTAGCATTCAGTAACCCACTGCCGTGACGGTACTACTCCAGCAGCCCCATGGGATCTAGAAGAATTGCTCTGCAGGGTTTCTGAGGCTATGAGTCTTGACAAATCTTTGGTGAGCAGCCCAGTGCGCGACACACTGGATCACCAGGGCACCTTCACAGTCCCAAGATTGTCTGCATGAGTCTTGTGCCGCCTTTGGGCAAAAGCCACAGAGAACAGGAGAAAATAAGGAAAAAAGTGAGGACTACCTCCATCCTACCTGGCTTCATTCTGCCCAATATCATGGTTTAGGTTATAGGCCCTCAAACTTTATCTGACCTACTGCTCCCCTTTTCAATAAAATAATAACAATTACTCGGTGCCTGCAACCCTGACAATGGCAGATGTCTGTACTATAGCCTATAATCTAGGATAAAGCAGAGGCATCCGCTGTTGAAGACCACCCCACCATGACTCCCATCCCCCGAGCATTCCAGTGGCCCCCACCCCAGGGCACTGAGTCTCCCACTGTGGGTAACACAGCCTGCTCCACTTAACCTGGAAATCTTGGCAATACCACGGCAGCACGAACTCACCAGCACAAGCACATGCGGCCCATAGAACCCATCGCGGAGTCCGGGGCCCACCTGGGCCATATTTCCTCCCGGCAGCCCCTTCACAGCATTCTCACACAGCCAGAGAGGCTGCTGATCTACCGTGCCTCCCAAAGATCCGCTCCCTGTGACGTCATCGGACTATGACTTCACAGCCTTAGCACAGTGTTTACTGTTGGGCTCTTGTCATGTTTTCAGGGCCCCAGTACAAAGCCCGTGCCCCAACACAGAGGCCCCTGTGCCTCAGGGAGCAAACACAATAGCATGCCCAGCATTGTCCCTGCTGGAGACAGCGCACTGGATGATCCCCACGGGGGGGATAATGCCCCGTGCTGTCTCCTCCAATAAACAAGACATTGTCCACCCAACCGTGTTGGGAATGAGATGCTTTCCACAGCTCCATCAGTGGCTGGGATTTCCCCGAGTCTAGTTCAACTTTCCCTACTTTTCTTTACCGAAGAATTTTACCATCTCATAAGGCGATATCCCTACCAGTCACTTAAACGCAAAAAAACACTTCCCCAAATGTTTGCCGTCTGTCCTGTAAAATGCTGCAGTGGGGACTATGCCTCATCCCTGCAAACAGAGGCGGTTACACCTCAATCATCTAGAGAGGGTTCCGAGCAGACTGTGAGCGCCCACGCCTTTGAACAGCCTTTGTCGGGCTACATAGCCAAAGTCAGAGCAAATAAAAATCACTGGGCATCAAGTGCCATTTGGCTTCCAGATAAACGATGGACAATTTCTTGGCAGAAGTAGGTCCCCAAGGAGTATAGGAGTCGTACCTTTACCTCCCAAAGTATCTGAAATTCAAACACAACTGAGCGTCTTCTCTGGCATCACCATCTTCTGAAAAGTCTGCTCCTCACTGGCGAGAATTATAGCCATGGCTAGTCCCTACCTGCTGTGAATCAGTGACCGAGTCACAATCCGATTCCTTCTCTGTTTTATTGTGTCATTGGGTTTTACTTGCCCCCAAGACTTGGGCGTTATTTCTGCCATTTCTCTATTGCAGCATAAAGGCCTTCCTTCTCCTGGCCAGTTTTCATGTTCTGATTTTCTCAAATGCCCCCCCTGAATACAAAAGTGAGCCACTCTGCTTTTCTGTTCTATTTCCACCCAATTTCACCCTGCAAACTGCTAACACAGATGTGGACCTAGGCCTAGCTTGTGAAAGTCCTTCACAGGATCCAAGTACCCATTCTGTGGCATTTCAGACATACACCATCCTTCTCCAGGCTGGCCTCTGGACTGGGTCTGGTCAGTCCCCTCATGCTTAGGCAACATGGAAATATCAGCTTCACTCTTTCATCTCTGTACACGCTACGTATTCCTTTGGGCACTTTCATTATCCCCTCCTCCAAACCTGCAAACTCCTACTGACTCCACA